GTGCTGAACCCTCACCCCCCTCCTTCACCCCAGGCCTGCCACTCTCTGTGCCCGTCTACTGCGTGCACGGTCCAGCTTTTGTGTTGCGGTCGTGAGGGACATTTTAAAAAGTTGTTTTTTGTATTTTTGCATGAAGTTTATTAAAAAGATTTGGAGCTGGTGCTGGAAGGAGCCTGTGGCGAGGCGGCTGGCCTCCTGTGAATAGGACAAGGCCTCCAGTCTCTACATTGCAGGCTGCTAACTCACAGCTGGGCCTTGTCTCGCTCTGTGTTGGTTTTACTGCCCCAGTTCCTTCTCCCATGTAAACATTCCCGGGATCCTCAAGGATTTATATCTGCCCATGCTGGCAGTTTCCTGCTACCCCCCTCCTCTCTGCACAAATCCCTAAATCCTCCCCAGCACTGGAGTATCTGGGGAGGGGGAGAGAGAGAGGGTCAGATTTCTTCCATTATGTTGGCTCGGAGGTTTACGGGCTGTCCATTTATCAAGTATATTCTGTCAAAAGTAAATAAATGTGGGAAGCTTTTTTCTTCTGTGTATATGTTCCATAGAACATATGCATTATAGAACCAGGACACCGAATCTCCATATTCACCATGTTCTGTACAACGTCTTCCTCTGGCTTAGGGGCCATCAGCTGAATAAAAGAAAGATCTGGGCAGTTGATGGAGGTGGTTTTAAGGGGGGCTTCTAAAGCTAGGGATTAATGGCTCGATTTTTAATCCAGTCCAGCCTGCAAGTTTAATGAGAGGAAATCAATGGGTTCCCATATCCACGTCAAAGCTGGGCATACGCGGCAAGGTTTCTCCCGTTGAGCTTGCAAGCTGAAAAAGCGAAATCTAGCTGCTTTACAATCAATGGATTCCCCTAACATGACAAAGCTGGACATACGTGGCTGGGTTTCCCATTGAGCCAACAAGCTGAAAGAGAAATCTAGCTGCTTTACAATCGGTGGATTCCCCTCTCCACGTCAAAGCTGGGCATACGTGGCTGGGTTTCTACTGTTGAGCTTGCAAGCTGAGAAAGCGAAATCTAGCTGCTTTGCAATCAATGGATTCCCCTAACATGTCAAAGCTGGGCATATGAAAGGGGGGCTTCTAAAGCTAGGTATTAATGGCTTGATTTTAATCCAGTCCAGCCTGCAAGTTTAATGAGAGGAAATCAATGGGTTCCCATATCCACGTCAAAGCTGGGCATACGCGGCAAGGTTTCTCCCGTTGAGCTTGCAAGCTGAAAAAGCGAAATCCTAGCTGCTTTGCAATCAATGGATTCCCCTAACATGTCAAAGCTGGGCATACGCGGCAAGGTTTCTCCCGTTGAGCTTGCAAGCTGAAAAAGCGAAATCCTAGCTGCTTTGCAATCAATGGATCCCCCTATCATGTCAAAGCTGTCCATGCACGGCTAGATTTCTCCCATTTCAGCCCGCAAGCTGGAACGTGACAGTCAATAGATTCCCCCATTAAGACTAAAGTTGGCCATACATGGCTAGATGTGACCCGTTCAGCTTGCGGGCTGAGAGAAAATGAGTCTTTCCCCTGTCAACGCTAAACCAGGCCAGTCACGTCTAGTCCTTTCTCTCTCAGACCACAGGTTGAATGAGAGGAAACTGCCCAATTCCCCCACCGACACTAAATGGCGTGGATGAAGGAATCTCCTGCTGCTGGCTATTGTATTCCAGCAGCTGATTGGATGCAGTCATCGTTCAGCCTACAATTTTCCTCAGTCCCTTCGATCCGCTCAGTTTGTCAAGCCGACGAATTCCTTTGAACTGGCCAAATATATGAGCTGTGTATGGCCAGATTAAACCGCGTGGATGGAGCAATCTCTCCCCACCACCTATTGTATTCAGACTGCCACGGCTGTCTGTATGTCCAAGCAGCGACCTACATCTGATTGGCCGATTTTAATCTTCCACCCCAGCGTAGACTATTTTTGCCCACCCGAGTGGTACTGGCGGGGCCACCCACGGCTTGAATTTTGGCTTATTCAGCAGGAATTGGTCGAAATTCAACCAGCTTTAATTGCCGGGGTGTCCCAGAACTTCTGTTCACACAAGCCATTACTAAATCGGAAACAATGTTGCACTGCCCACTGCGTCCATGTAAATGAAGGGAAATAATTGCCTACAGTGTCAAATGACTTCAGAGGTCAAAGCCATTAGAACATTGATAAATATTTGCACACTTGCAACACATGTTTTCTTTTTGGTTGACAATAAAGATTAATATCGCTGTATATGGGAACTTATTGGTCTCATTACATATTGTTTGCATCAATAGGAGATGATTATTGAGCGTTTTTTGTGTGATCGGAAACAGATTTTTTTTTAGTTGTGCTCGATCACTTCTACTGTAGATGACACTGCTGATTTTTTTTATGCGGTTAGACAATATTACTTTTTCTGTTGAATCGTAGAGTAAAATGCCTTAAATAAATAAGTTCTTGGAATTGGGCCACATTGTATCTGTTTTCATACTCCTGTTGTATTGTCTTCATAAAGGGAACTGTAACAGCGCCATCTAGAGGCGGAGAGAAATGTGGCCGCAGTAAAGAGCAATGATGGCAAATGAAGGCAGCAAAACATAGGCTAGGGCAACACTTTTGGTGCTGCGTCAACATACAAGCTATGTGTCACGCATTAACATGCCTAGGTATTCATAACGTGCCAAATCGCAGCAAAAAAATGTCATGCGTCTTTTGTAACACAATGCACCCAGGCACGGGCTCACTGCAATACATTTCCATGGGCAAGATGCACTGGGGTACCATTAAGATCGAGCGTTGCTGTAACACACCATTGTGCAAAACGTGTTTTTCATGCATTAGCGCAGCAGTGCCAACGCAGCCTTTGGATTGAAATTGAATTATGAAATATACAAGACTGGCTTCACCTAAATGTAAATAATAAAATCTTTGAATATGGGCGTGAATGTGATCCCTACAATGTGATTCACTAAGATTATTGATCAGGAGGCCAGCAGTATATAGGAAAATCTGCCCCCATATCTGCTTTAAAACCATCATCTGTTGTGTAGATCTGTCGGCATTGTTTAAAATCTGTCTCCTTTTACCTTGCAGTATCTACAGATGAAATGGCCTCTCCTCGATGCCCCAAGCACGGCTGGATTGAAGGACGCCAGATCGCCATCACCCGCACATTTGGTAAGCCTCAATGGTCTCCTGTATGAAACCGGTGTTGCCCTATAGTAACCGCTTTATTGCTGTGAAGATGCCTGCACAGGACTCAACCCGGCAGGAGAGCTATATGCCTGTATTAAAGTGTATCCAAGAACAAAAATGGAACGTGTTGGCTGCACTCGTTTTTTTTTTCTTTTCAGACATTTTTACTTGGTGATCCTGCCAGTAACACATTTCCTGTCCTTGGGTGACAACGCTGTTTTTTAATAGCCTTTGGAGAAGCTGCATTGTCACCCTAGGACAGGAAGTGTTTTAAGGTTACAGAACGCTCCCATCTCCTTTTCTCCATTACATAAGGGAAAGTGTTGTACGGTCCACAAAACTCTGGCAGGATCAAGAACTGATATTTCAATGCCACTCTCCCACCTTCTTTTCTCCATTGCCTAAGGAGAGGTGTTCTAGTCCACGAAGTCGGGGCCCATACCTCCTTTTCTCCATTACATAAGGAGAGGTGTTCTAGTCCACGAAGTCAGGGCCCATACCGCCTCTTCTCCATTACATAAGGAGAGGTGTTCTAGTCCACGAAGTCAGGGCCCATACCGCCTCTTCTCCATTACATAAGGAGAGGTGTTCTAGTCCACGAAGTCAGGGCCCATAACTGCTATTTCAATGCAACTCTCCCATCTCCTTTTACATGAGGGGTTCTATAGTCCTCAAAGTGAGCTCGAGCAGAGCCAATAACTGATTGTTCAGCGCAACTTTTTTTCACCTCTCTTTATTGAACATCAAAAGTATACAAGAGTCGCATGTATGGAACCGTACAGCATTCAAATCGCACAGCAACTGTGCAAAAACAAACTGCGAAAGCCTCCCATCTCGCCCTCTTCCCCAGTAAGGTCAGTGGCAGCGGTCAGTGATGCAGTTTCAGTGCAACCTTGTCTGCTTCCTAGAGGAAGTTACAAGCTCACTGGATTTCTGGCAGGATCAATGGGTATTTCGAGCCCTCATTGAACAGATTGAACCGAACGCCTTCAATTGTATATTTGACAGACTGAAAGGGAGCAATTAAAGCAAGACTCCAGGCAAATCAATGTGCTGAAATAACAGATACTCACCCGAACCACAATCCTAGTTGGCTGCTAGACCGTTCCCTTCATCCTTTTCTCCCCCCTCCGCTCCAGCAGTCTTGGGCCCAGCGAGTAATCACCTTCTATACAGTCCTATAGGATGTGAGTAAGCCAAGGGACATTCACTGGAGCGGAGGAGGAGACCGGCCGGGATTGTGGTTCGGGTGAGTATATCTTTTGGTATTTTAGCTCCCTAGACAAAATGAGCCTATTAACCCTTGCAGTGCTGGGGGTAGCCCCACTGCCAGGGTTAAGATTTGATTTGCCCGGAGTTTTGCTTTAAGTGACATTCACTGCTAGGGTTTACAGACATCGTAAAGACTTTATTTCTCTGAACTTCATGAGATTCTTCAAAGCTGGAATTGAATGTATTTTCAGTGACCTACGGAGCTGACCTTTAACTTGTCATTGTAAATTCTTGCCGTTCCTTATTTTCAGGATTAGTTTTTGAATCTGTAGATTCTCGCCCTGGTCATGTGTATTAATGTCAATTAGTCAGCACCCCTGCGCTGAGGAAATGCAAAGATTAAATCCGGCAGAGGCATGGTTTTCAGTCAGTCAGAGCCGACTCATAGACTTGTATTGAGAAATGGAACGGTACTGCAGAAGCAGAACCTGCCTATGTACTGAGTACATGGAGTTGAAAATAATGCATTTTGAGAAGATCACGCATGAAGATGCGTTTTAGGATACAAATAAAATATTAAATAAGCCGAGATTCATTCAGTTGTAGGGATTATATATCCTAAGACGCTTTCATACAGGAGTGCCCTAGTTCCAGGTTATTATAGAAAGCCCTTTTTCTTTCAGCGTAGGTCTGCGGGTTGCATTTTTATAGAGGGGAATGGGGAAAATGAGACCCATTTGCTCAATGTATTGTTTATATAGTAAGGGCTGACGAGATGCACATGCATTCATGCTCAGTCTTGCCGCACAACGTGCACGCGCATGCCTGCAAGGACTTTACTCGCTCACTCAAGCTTGCATTTGTGTGCAAGATGTTTCTCATGGCACACGGGGCCTTCATTGTTCCAGCTTTGTATACCTGCATTAGCACCTGAATTCCTGTCTATTCAATAGGCATTAAGTCTTTCAGCACAGAGCACAGAGCTGCTGCTTAATGTAGGAGGGGGGGTTGGGGGGGGGATGCTGAAGTTAAACTCCTTCACAATCAGTCATTGGGAAGAGCGATGGTCTGGGTGGGGCTCGGCCTACTTGGCGTCTGCCTCCATAATGCTTCTAGCTCCTTAATGGAGATCTTCGGAGGAGAAAAACAGTGCAAATAAGAAAGGATTAGCTTGGTTTGCGAGGGGCAAGTTTTACTGATGGTCTGCTTGTCTTCACCTGCTCAGGAGAACGTTTTGTCAGCTGCTTTTTTTATTTTTTTTCCTTTTAAAATGGCCACTGTGAAAATAGTGCACCTACCAGACCTGTGTGGTATGGCAGAAATGTTGGGGAAGGAAAAAGACAATGTGACACATGCATAGTAGCCTGCAAGAAAGCCACCATAGCGATGTGATGTCATCAGGGGCATCCCTAGCTTTTTTGCCATGCTGCAGGGGAGCTCGCAGGGTCCCACTGGGAGAGATGTGTATGGACCTTATAGATCTCCCCGTCCGACTCTTAGCTTGGCGGGAGGTCTGCAAGAGCATCCCAGGTTGTCAAGAGGTGGGTGAAGAAATGTGTATGGTCCTTACACATCTGCCCACCCAACTCTTGGCAATATGGATGCTCTGGACGGAAAGGGGGCGTCAGGCACACTGTAAACATTGTGCAGCATGCCGCTCTGCCTGCTGCTCCTTCCACAAAATTCCTCTTTATAGGGACAGCCCTGAATGTCGTAGGAAAACTACAGAGCAGGCACAATCTCGCGGGAAGACAGTCCAGTGGATTGCAAGTGCATTTTCTGGCAAGATTTGGCCTGCTCTGTATTCCCCAGGATCTGGCTGGGAAGAGTGATGTCACCCTTGCCTAGGTTCCACGGGCAGAAGGTAGGGATGGGGCAAGCATGAACCCTAATTTGTTTCCTTACAGGTACATTTTACTCCTAATAGGTGATTTTTGGGAGGGGGGGGCGGACTGTGTAAGCAGACCATGCATTTTGCTAAAAGGTCCCCTTCATAATTAAAGTATATCAAGGGCTCATTCACTTTGTGGATTGCATTAGCACAATGCATTTTGTGCATTAATGTGTTAAAGGAAGTCCAATGTATGAAATAGACCTACACTTCTTCTTTTTTTTTAATTTTCCCCAATGAATCAACACAGTAAACTTATATTAACCTGATTTGCTTTTCTCCACAGTCCAACAAGGTTCCGGTTGTTCAACACCCACATCATATGCACCCCTTAACGCCCCTCATCACCTACAGCCAGGACCGCTTCTCACCAGTCACCCCACCTGGACACTTGTCACCCGAAATAGACCCAAAGACCGGTACGTGTGGTGTTTTTATAAAGATTTGAGATTTTTCTTGTGTTATTGTACATGTCATTAACTGGATGACTTCCTGTACAGGAATCCCCCGTCCTCCTCATCCGTCAGAGCTGTCTCCCTATTACCCTCTATCTCCAGGAGCTGTAGGGCAGATTCCTCATCCTCTGGGATGGCTGGTGCCACAGTAAGTATTAAAGTAAAGCTTGACTTGGACTGTGTAGTCTTTTCCCACATTGGGCAGTTTGTTTTATACTTTTGTGTGTTTCAGGCAAGGCCAGCACATGTACTCCATTCCTCCAGGTGGATTCAGACATCCATATCCTACGTTGGCCATGAACGCCTCAATGTCCAGGTATAGTACACTGATGACCAGTCTGGAGGCTTTCTTTACGCCTCCCTTTAACTTTTTTCTTATTAGTTTCCTTGCTGCTCACAGTGCTAATCGTCTCCCCTTCTTCTTCCTGCAGTCTGGTTTCCAGCCGGTTCTCTCCACACATGATGTCCCCTCATCACGGCCTGCACACCTCAGGGATCCCTCACCCTGCCATAGTCTCACCTGTTATCAAGCAGGAGCCGTCCTCCGGAGGCCACAGCCCAAATCTTCATTCGTAAGTGTTCTTATATTTTTTATTTTTAAAACCCCTGTAAGATGACGTTAAAGGGTAATGTCCAACACAGGGGCCTGTTCACCTCAGTCTTTATAACACATGAGCTAGTGTGTGTTGTGTAAGGGCATTGTAACATAAAACAATATTATATCGACTATATGCCCAACGTTGCATTGCAATGTGCTGATGCGCATTGTACGGTACACTGCACAGAAATGCATGCATGCTGCTTTTTTATGCAACACACCTGTTGGTGTGAATAGGGCATATGGAAAGCCATTGTTTTCTAGGTGTCCTTGTGTTCCTCCGTTCATCAATGCTGACCAACGCAACTTGGCGCCCCTGTTGCGAACAAGCCCTTAACAGAATGGAAACAGCTGTTTTTGTATGTGCTGCATGGGATAAGAGTCGCCAAGATCCACCAACACTAGACGCAAAGGATCAATTACTGTTGACGAGATGTTTTCTCTATATATGGCAAAGCTGGGACTGATGGAGACGACTTATTCCGCATTGCAGTGCAGTCTCAGCCAAATTCTACATTCCATGCAAAACATAAAAATCTAAACTTACAATACCAAATGCAAGGATTCGTGTTACATTCACAATTACTAGCCTAAGTTTTATGCCAGAATTGTAAAAAAAACAGGACATGGCTTCATTAGAGAGTCGGGATCATTTCATAATGCTGTTCAGTTTGTGGACCTTCTGATGGGGGGCCACGTCTCAAGTTTGATACAGTGGGTTAGAAATAGTCTCTGACCTTGGCATCAGACAGAGCCTTGGTACCCAACAGCCCATCAGCATTCAGTATGCGGCCCGCTGTGCTCCAGACTAATAGTCTGGTTGACAGCGGCTCGGGCTGACTTTAGCTCTGGAACTGCCAGCTGTCAGTGACAGCCGCAGTACAGAACTAAGCATTGGCGCTGAATTGGTCAGCCCCTGGGCTTATGCTCGCGCTCCTACCAGGAGGCAACTTGAACACAAAGCAGAATAGCGCTTCCATACTGTTTTGAATAGAATAGAGCCTCCCCTACTATTGAATTTTGTGCGGCCTCTACCTCACGTCATTCCAGCACCCTTCTATATACTACAGTGGGATTCCGGTCTGGTGTGCAATGGGGATACGGGTTTGTTTTTAGCTGTGGTACACCTGGACTCCTTAATTTTCTGTATTTTATATTGTGAGAATTCTATCACAAGACAATTACTTTTTGGCTTTATATTGGTGGGGGGTGCTGGCAGGGAATATAAATATGGCGGTGGAGTATTTAATCCCAGGAAGCATGCAAGATGGAGATATTGGCCTTGGCTGGAGTCGACTTTTAACTCTGGTTTCTTTTTGCTTCTGTAGGAAGCCACCAATGTCAGTTAAGAAAGAAGAAGAGAAGAAGCCACACATCAAAAAGCCTTTGAATGCCTTCATGTTGTACATGAAAGAGATGAGAGCAAAGGTGGTCGCAGAATGCACACTCAAAGAGAGCGCTGCCATCAACCAGATCCTTGGCCGCCGGGTGAGTTGTTTTGTTTTTTTTTTTGTGCTTTTAAATCCCCCAAATATGTTTTAGAGAACAAAAAGTGATAAGAGCAGGACTGACTGTTCTTTCTCCACAGTGGCACTCGTTATCCCGAGAAGAGCAGGCCAAGTACTATGAGCTGGCAAGAAAAGAAAGGCAGCTTCACTCTCAGCTCTATCCGACATGGTCTGCAAGAGACAACTATGTAAGTGTACCGTACACGTCTGACTTCTGGATTGTACATGCGATATCTTTGTGTTTTGGACAATTCTCTCTCAATATGCCCATTGCAAATGCACTTATAACCTCCATTGTACATGGAATGCTCTCTGTATATGTCATTGATGCATTCATGAGAATTTCTGCACAATGGGCTTAAATATCTAATCTTCAGCGGAGATATAATAAAGACACTTCTTTAACAAACCCACAATGTAAAGGGCCACACCAACTCTCATGGCTCATCAACTTTAGCCCTAAGTAGCCCCAGCAGGTCATGGTTTCAGGATTTCTTCAGTTTTCTGTGTCAGTAATTATCATAATTGTGCCTTCTAAATGAAATTCTTTAACCCCTTACTGCTGGCTCTCAACTTCCCGTTTATAGGGTAATAAATGCTGAGCCCAGTAGACCGGCTCACGATCATGTAATCAATGTGATTGGTTGTCCCAGTGATCATGTGATTGGGAGACCATCCGATCAGCTCCTGATTGTAAGCAGAGAGCTGTCTGTTATAATGCACAGTGCTGAAGGCAGCGGGCGAGTGTGCTCCCAACACAAAACTGCAGCGCCAGCTGTGCGCATGTACGTGGTAACCTAGCATTAAGGCTGTGACACACTGCACGTGAAGAGGTGGCGCGCTGCCTTCACGTGCAGTGTCATGTCATTTCGGCACGTCAGCTTGCATAGCTGAGCGTGCTGAGATGAAAAATGTCCTTCAGCCAATCTGCTCACGCGTATAAATCCATGCGTCGTGATGCAAAGTCCATTCGGTTGTTACGTGCAAGTCGATTGGCTGAAGATGCAGTCCTTTGGCCGTGCTCAGCTCACACACTGCATGCGACGCTCCGTACCTGACAACTTTGCTTTGCTCGGCTTCGCATGCAGTGTCATGGGCTTTAGAGCCCATGCCGTGCTGCCACATATATGCATACGTTTGGTGGTAGGCGGCTAAAAACATCCAGCTGTTCCGACACTACAAATCCCGTCATGTCTTTGTTTCTGGGGGTCATGCTTGTGGCTGTCAGTTTGCAATGCCTCATGGGACTTGTAGCTCCACAACAGTTAGACTTCCAAGGTTGCCCACCCCTGCCGTGGGCACTTTCTAAGTTGGGTAGGTATCCCTTTAAGCATGAATCCAACAAATCACTGTTGGTTACATTGTCTTCCTTTTGATAACAATATAATATTTTGCTGCTTGATCAGCGTACAGCTCTGTTGCAATTACACGTGTATTGTTTTAGTAACAAAAGACACATAACCGATGTTAATTTATCTGCGCCTTCTATCTTCCAGGGAAAGAGAAAGAAGCGGAAGAGAGAGAAGCAACCACATTCGCCAGAATCAGAAGGTAGATGCAGATCTCTGCTTAAAACTGTGTGTGCTATAGGGATTGCCTGATCTAAACCTCATTGTCTAATGTAGCCCATGGAGGGGTGGACAAGTCATGCCATCCTTGTTATGCGGTGATTGACAGGGCAGCGGCAACAACAACTTGGAGACCCTTCTTCTTTTTCCCACATCATATAGGCAGCAATCTTCTTATAAGATTACGTGTCCCATTTACTGTGATTTATATCTCTGTAAAAGCCTCCCTTGTGTATGACCTCCAAAAGGCCTGAGACTTCTGCTACGTGCTTCCATCTTGTGTCGGTGGCCCCAGCACACTTGGAGGTGTCACTCAATTGACGCTCTGTGCTATTACCTTCCAGTTGCTACATACTTTTGTTTGTGCGCAGCAGACAGTACAGCTTCTGCTTATGATTTATAGATCATTAGTTATGTATCCTACATTGCTCTATAAATGCATTGCAGCCAGGGCATGGAAATGTAGACAAACCTTCCTAATACCATATCGAATCCAAGACAAGCTATCACTGATCCTAATTAAAGGAGAACTATGGGGTCAGTTCTTTTCCCCATAGTTCTCCTAAGGGTCACGGGAGAACACAAACTAGCGTCCTCCCGTCGCCCAAAGCTCGGTATACCGCAAGCTTTATTTTTTTAAGGGTGTCGTATGCTGCTAAAGAATCTGTAAACTTATTGCAGGAATAACAAAGTATATTTTTTTTCTATTACAGCTTGTAGAGCCAAGAAGGTATGTGTGCCTCACCTTACTGCTGAGAAGTCCTGCGACAGCCCAGCTTCCTCCCATGGCAGCATGCTGGACTCTCCAGCCACACCTTCCGCAGCTCTCGCTTCCCCTGCGGCCCCAGCGGCTACCCACTCCGAGCAAGCTCAGCCACTCTCGCTCACCACCAAGCCTGAAGCCAGAGCACAGTTGTCTCTCAGCCACTCTGCTGCCTTCCTGGCCTCCAAATCTCCTCCGTCCTCCAGTCTGTCAGGACACCTGCCATCCCCTGTCGGATCTTCACTGCTCTCTCGTCCAATCCCGCTTTCGTCCTCCATATTGTCTCCAACTGGCGTCTTCCACTCGGCCCTGCAAGCTTTACCACTGATGCAGGCACAACCCTTGTCTTTGGTGACCAAATCCAGTGACTGACTTGAGAGGACTCTATGGCCCAGGTAGCCAGGACCCACACAGATGAAAGGAGTTAGTAGTCCCTGTAGACCTGCACATACCCTCTCTGCACTCCTTTTCAAATATACAGCTTTGCAGATATGGATGTTCTGCACTGATTCATGTAGATACAATGTCCCGCACTCGGCGCTCTATCATCCTGGTCTATGATGCATACGAACATGAACAATGCTCTGTGTATATGGACATCCCTGTGTACTGATGCATATACAGTTCACTGCATTGGCCCTACAGGACTCTGAATGATTTTATAGGGGACTTGCGATTGGACAAGCCAGTGATGGGGATTTCTAGCATGGATGCTCACAATTATCTGGTATGGTGCAGGCAGAGCGGGCTACTGTCCCAGGCTGCACTTCTCCTCCCAACAACCAACCACACCATATACTTGGCCAGAAACACCAGACCCACACGGATTATTGGTCAATATTTGACCTGGCGGCTTTACCGTTGGCTCTGCTGATCTTGTTGTTAAATCCTTTTTTTCTGTGTTTTTTAAATAAAATTTAAATGGGATAAATAGGAAGAAAAAAATCCATGTAAATTGTATATAGAAATGTGACCAGTTTGGGGAGAATGGGCCATGCATGTTTGCTTTTATTGGGGAGGG